CACAGCTGCTGCAACTGACTTCACCTGAACATAAGCCATATCTTTCCCAAGACACATCCTCGGCCCACCGTGAAACACCGGGAAACGGAACGGACCCAATGGCTGAAACACCCCATGATCAGCATCCAACCATCTCTCGGGCTTGAACTCCCTCCAGTCCTGGCCCCACAGCTCCTCCATCCTCCCCATTGCATAGGCAGAGTAATCAGCAAACCACCCTTTTCTTACTTGTGTCCCGTCCGGCAAAACATCATCCGACACTACTAGTCTCGAATTGATTGGGACAGGAGGGAACAATCTCAAGGCCTCTGATAGAGCCGCGTGAAGATAGTGCAGCTTCTTCAGCTCATCATAGCCGAAAGTTCTCGATGAGCTTTGTGTGGGCGACGTCTTTGCCACCTCCAACAACTCTTTGTGTATCAAGTTGGCAGACCGTGGATGAGCAGAGATCAACCAGAAGAACCAAGTTAGTGCAGTGGATGTGGAGTCTTTGCCGGCGAGAATGAAGCTAATGACTATGTCTTTAAGGAACTTTCTCTTTTGCTCTTTGTCTTGAAACTCCATGTTCGAAAGTGAGGTCATGAATCTTGATAATAAGTCTTGATCTTTAGGCACTTGTTGATCACTATTAATGCTCAATTTTACCTCTTTGGACCTTATAATATCCATGGCATAAGTGTTGATGACTTTTAGCATTTCCTTGAGTCGTTTTTCTGATCCAATGTTGAGGAATCGCTTAGCCTTCCACACAAGAGGCAGAGGAGTCATAAACCTTGATGAACAAATCCCAACAGCCTCATCAAAAGCTTTGGCAAAGCTCAAGCTTTCCATGTTTTGATGACTTTTCTGATCTGAACTCAAGCAAGCAGGATCCACACCGAAAGCCACATTACATATGTTGTCAAAACCAAACTTTTGTAACACGTCTTGTAGATCAATAACTATGTTATCATCACACGCCTTGGACAGGAGAGGAATTAGGTGTGTTGAGATTTCAGATGCGACGGTTTCGGTGATGAAGTACTTGAGTGATTTGGTATTGAACTCATGGCTGGCTATCTTGCGTTGGATGGTCCAGAGTTGCCCGTCAACATTGAAGATCCCATCGCCAAGGAGCTCGTGGAGGACGTTGTAAAAGCGAGAGCCTTTGACGTAGTTCGGGGAGTTGGAGAGGAGGAGGTGCTCAACATTGAGGGGATTGGCTGTGGCAATTCCATGGGAGAGGTTGAGGAAACCGTTGACTTGGAGAGTCAATGATGGGGTCTCAGAAAGCATGTCAGCAACCCAATCATGGAAGCGGCGGTGGTTACGGAGGAAACCTACAAGGTTTCCGATTACGGGGTAAGATTGCGGGCATGGTGTCCTTTTGTGTGGCCTAGAATTGTAGGAGAAAAGGATGTAGATGGATATGGAGAGGAACAAGGTCAGAAAGGAAAGGGGAATTGTAATGATGTCCAACATTATCATTAGCTTGAGATTTGGTTTGTTGGCTTAGTATTCATAGTTTTTAATCAATTTAAGATGTGTTTTTCACTAGAAGTTGGAAATTGAATAGATGGAAAATTTGGAGTTCCAATCTTCTACATGCTGGTATTCTCCAATAATCCTGACAGCAAAGAGATAACTTGCTTTCTAAGAAACTCAAACAAACA